AGAATAATTTGTATATATATATATATATATTAATGTATAACAATTTCAATTTAGATATATTAATATAATTTTAATAGAAAGAAAATTTATATTTTTCTATAATTATGATGATTTTCATATTATGATTAAATTAAAGAAGATCATATTTATTTTATTATATTAATATTTAAATTGATTATTTTAAATAATATCTTGTCATTAATTTAAATAAATAGTTACATGTTTTTAATCATTATTTATAAAACAGGTAATTTCAAACAGATTTTTATGTTCTCAAATTATGTTATATGAATATATTATTTTCAAAGATAATATTATGAAAAATTTTTTTCTATACATTTATATAATCATTATGACTTAATTTATAAAAAACTTTTTGTATTATTAGATATTATTAGAATTGAATTTTGCCTATGTATAAATATATGCATTTTTTAATGCTATTTTCTCTTATCATATTGAATATTTGATCTGACTTGAATTTCCTGAACACAATATATATACTATAAACAAAAGATAAAATCCTCAATTTTTTAATTTTTAGGTACAATCAGGTGAATATATATTTTTATATGTATACTTTTATAAACAAATAATTGTATTAATATTAAGAATATATTGTAATATTTATTAAATACTATTCAGAATAATTATTATGAAATTATATGAATATGAAATATGAATTTCTAAATTTTTTGCAGATTTTTTTTTGTAGATTCTAATCTACATTAGTAACTAAATATTTTAAATTACAGTTATATTATATATATACATATATATATAAATTAATAATATAATAATAGCAATAAATAATATAATAAATTTTACAATTATAAGAAGTAGTTATTATTTAATTATGATGTATCAGTAAATGTTTAAATCCTTTTTTTCTGAAACTTAAAAATGGACAGAAATAGAATATTTATATTGTTTAATCATTTATATAATATAATATTATTATTTTTCTATTAAAATAATTATATTTCTTTATTAAAAACTAATAATTTAATATCAATTATAATTCATAATTACAATATTTATTTTAAATAATTTTATTTCTAAAAAGATACAGTTAAAATCTTATATACTTGATCAAAAATATTATAATCTTACTTTTTTTCAAATTAATATAAAGATTCATATATATATTTTATAAAGTTTATCTCTTGAATGTGATTATGTTTCAGTTTAAAGAAATAAATAGGGCACATGCTATATTAACAGATTTAACTAAGAGAAATATATATGATAATTATGGATCACTTGGACTATATGTTGCTGAGCAATTTGGTGAAGAAAATGTCAATGCATACTTTGTTGTTACTTCTGGTTGGTGCAAGGTAAGCTTTTATTAATTTCTGAGTTTTTTCTATAAAATAAATTTTATTATTATTATTATTAATTTTATAATAAAAAATTTGATAGAAATTTATCAATAGTTTTAATATATATAAATTATATATTGTATATACCAAATTCTTATTTTTTAAAATTTATATATAATATTTCTATTCATTTGCTTCAATGAACTTATTTTTTTTACCATTTACAATTTACAAATTCTTTGTTTAATATATATAATATATATATATTAATATATATATCATACAATTAATTATTAAATATAATAAATTCATTATATTAATTGTAATTATTGTTTTCAGGCACTCTTCATATTTTGTAGTTTGATAACTGCATGTTATTGCTGTTGTTGCTGCTGTTTTTGCTGCAATTTCTGCTGTGGTAAATTCAAGCCAACACCACCGGAAGACAGTGGAGCATACCACAATTTACAGGTAATATTTTTATACTTTTTTCTTTATTTTCAAACTATTTCGTATGTGTAATGAATAATTACAAATTTATAATTAATTAAAATAATTTATTTAAAATAATATCGATTAATTTAATTTAATAGGAAAATTGTGTGAAAATTTTAATTTTTTTATATGCATATAAATATCGAATATTTCTAGATCTTTAAACTTAATTGAAACAATTGCAAAAATCAGTTATTTTTGGATTATTTCCAATTTTTTACAAATATTTTCTTGATTTATTAGTAATATTTAAAATAAAGTTATTAAAAATTAAATTTAAATTTTCTAATTTTCACAAGTAATTTAATTTGTATGGAATCTATGAAACTAAGTATCAAATAATGAATTATTATAAATAAAATATTAATGAATATAAATAAAATTTTAACAATATATAAATATGTAATATGATATATACATATATGATGTATATATATATATATATGTAAATAATAATTGAAAATGGAGTGAAATTTTATTATTTTTATCCAACATTGTGCTGAAGATTTTGACATGACATAATAAATATAAACATGTCATGTGAGAAAAAATAAAATTTTCAAGAAACGAATTTAAAACGATAATATGTGATAAAAAATTAAAATTATAAAGAATATCGATCGATATAAAATATTAAGTTCCATAACAATATATTTATATTTTATATTTTAGTTGATATGATAACTAAATATTTATCTATTATGTAGTTAGCATTGAAATGAGCTGTATTTTTTAAGTCAGTTAAATCGTAGATATGATATAAAATATTTAACATATTCAAACATGGTATGTATAATGCATAGAAAATCAATCGAAATGTGATAATATAAATTGAAATATTTAGATAAAAATATATCCTTGATAATCGCAAATTTTTGATAATAAAATAAATTTTATTTAAAGATAATTTACGCGTACAAATGAAAAAATCTATTTAATGAATCTAATAATGAAAAAGATAATATATAATTTAACTATATAATGATTTTATAGGAAAGTTCTTTTATAGGAAATGACCACTTATATCGATTAATCGTGTTAAAAAAAATATATAATTCCATAAGAATTCATAAGAATTATAAATCTGTTTATCAATATGAAAAGAAATTTTCAAGAGACATCATATATTTACGTGCATTTCTAATCATTTTTCATTTCTTATATAATACATATGAAGATTTATTCGATTCTCGATCATGCATCTATCATCATTGCTCAGATTATATCGCTTCCTACATTTTTAGCAAGCAATAATATCACATGTTTCATTTATATATATTATTCTATACTTTACACATTTTTAAAAAAACAATCTTTATCTTATTTTGTATATATTATAGATGTATGTAAAAATTTATATATATACTGTATATTGACATTTGCAAAAAATTAATAACAATAGATCAAGTTTCATATTATGCAATTTTTCATACGAAATATTTTTTCGTACAACAAATAATTTATGAATATAATTTTGTAAAAAATATTTGCATTACGCATAACTTACCTTGTATAAATTAATTATTAATGTTAATAGAATTTCTTAATTCTATTTTCTGGAGAATTCTATTAATTTTAATTTATCTAGATATTTTATTTATCTAGATAATTTTATTTATCTAGATAAATATAATAGAAATATTTTAAAATTATATCACAATAAAAAATTGTTCTGATATTTAGAAATTTTAGCATAATTTAATGTTTGTGTATGATATATATCTTGAATATTATTGTTTTTATTATTAATTGCTATAATTATAAAAGTAATTCTCTCTTTTTAAATTTTTTATATTTTATTAATTTTTTAATAAAAAGTATTTTTTTATAAAATATATATAATGACAATTATTTGACAAAATTTCATGAAAATAATATACAAATATATACACATAATATCATTATTCTCGCAGATAGTCACTTTTGTACATTTATCTTATAAGGAAATTTATCTATCTTAAAAATTTTGATTTTAATAAAAAATTTGTATTCAAAAAAATTTTTTTAACAAATAATATTTATTAAAAATGTGAAATAAATGAGAAGGGAAAATTTATTTTATCTTTTATTATATGTAACTTTTGAAACATGATATGTGAAAATTTTTTTAATATCCAGATTTAGAAAAACAAATTTATTTACCATTATTTTAAATTATTGAATAAGTAATGTCGTTTTCTAAGATATTTGATATAGTAATTATTTTTCTTGATATGTATTATTCTTGTATGATTTCTTGATGTGTTTCTCATTGAATTTTAAATTTTGATTTTTAAAGAACAATTGATCAACAAATTTTTACGCTATTTGTAAATCTTATATTACGAAAAACAAACAGCGATATATTATTGATGGCAAGTCTGAAGAACTCGATGGATTTCTATGAAAACAACTCTTCTATCGTTTTCATCAATGATTCCAGTAAAATTGCATGTAATCTGTTTAATTATTAGTAGTAGAGATTAATCACATTATAAATGCCATTACAATATTTTCATCAAAATAACATACATAATATTTAATCCTTTGTTATCTTTTGTTATTTATAAAAAATATGCATGAGTTTTTAATTATGCATGAGATTGTTTATTAATTATATTTAATTATAATTATATTTCTTTATATCAACAATATATTAATATATTCCCAATAGTCTTTCATTTTTTGTAATTTCTTTCTAGAGAAATTTTTTCATGGATCGACGGAATATTTTCAAGTTATTTGATTTCATTATATAATTTCATTCAGAGTATCTATCTCAATTTTTTTCATATACTTCGAATTATTTTGTATTAAAAATTAACAACTTTAAAATTTTTTAAATGATAAAAAATATAGAAAAAATTATCACTTATGTTTCTTTCACATTTTTGTATAATAATTTTATTATATTTTAAATCTAGTAAACAATGTTAATATTTTGATTTTTTTGAACCAGAGAAAACGACATTACTTCTAAAAAAATCTAAAAGATTAAAGGATTGTTATTTGTAATTGTATTTGTTCATGTATGTTCTTTTTATGTATATTTTTTTATATTTAACAATATATTTTTTTTTTTATATTTTTTTTTATTTTTATATTTAACAATATATTTTGTTATTACAGATCAGCATCATATAAATTTTATTGAAAATACTTCAACTATAATATGATTAATATGATATATAATACTATAATGTGATAATAATATTATTAACGATAATAATATTATTATCGTTATGTTAAATTTTCAATTTTTCTTATACACGTTATAAAAATTAAAAAAAAAAGATTAAAAAGAAATTATTTAATTATACACCTAAGATAACACAAATAATCAGGAGTTAATAAAAATTTTTTTTTTATTTCGGATTAAGAATTATTTTTAGATAGAAATCAAACTTATGTAAAAGAAACAAAAATATGGTACTTTAAATTTTAACAGAATTTTAGAAATGTTAAATTTTAACAAAAATTTATAATTTATTAATTCGAAAATTATTGTATTTTTTATAAATAGTAATTCTAAGATTTCATAATATTATAAACTTGAACGATAAAATTATTGAACGTTTTCTTCGATTACGTTAATAATTTCAAATTATTTTTTAATAAAATATATATAAATATATTTATAAATATTTATAAATACATAATTGTTTTTATATAAGAATTTAACAAAATAAAAATAATAAATTGATTATTTTTTTATATTTAATTTCGTGCAATTTAAGTAATTATAGCGTTATTGATTATATTGATCATATGAATATTGATCATATTCAAAAAATGACATATCAAATTAGCTATCTATTTTCGCAAGTAATGAAAAAGAATAATAATAAATT